AAGGTGCGTGACAAATTTGGATTATAAGACAGGCGTAATGTACCTAGTTGTGACAAGTCGTACTTGTAAGTGAAAACCATGGGTATATCGAAACTAGAAAATCAAAGATTTCAGTATTTGGGCCATCATGGCACGGAACCTGAATAATACAATATAATAATCAACAGTTTAAGCTGCTTGATACTTCATTGGACTTAAATCTTAGTCATGTTATCAGAGGGTTGTGTTAATCTTATTATCAGATATATTTTTAAAACATGTGCTTAGGGCTATAATTTTGTCGGAATTAAAAATATCGATGCAATATTTTAAATGAATACAAGCTGAGTAAATTTAATTGAAAAACCGCACAAGTGATCAAAACATGGAAGCAGATAATCTGAATGTATATATCACGATTTTTAATGGAAAGAAAGACAAATCGAAAAACAATAAAAAACACGCGTTTTGCATATAGTTTATGATATTACTTTGAAATATTTCAGGTAACATGACTATTTTGGAGTGTTCAAGTTCGTAAATCGAACAAGAATTGAATCATGAGTATATGTTTTTCTTAAATGTTTTACACTCATAATCGGACTTCGAGTTCTCAATTTCTAAAAATACACTAACAACGTTTCATATTTAAATCACAGATTTAATACCAAAATTTATGCATTTGGCTTAGATTATAGCTATTAGACTTAGTACTTTTTGTTGGTTGTGAAAAAATATGAATAATCGGAATGGCATCTTCTAACCATTTCATCTGAAGGTAATGTTTTGAACGTAGATATAGATCTATATTAGGAAACCGAATTTAATTTCATTTTCAAGTAATGAATGAGGACGAACAGTGAAAATATAGAGTATTTGTAATAGGCGTTTAAAATAATTCGAATAAAATTTATGATGTATAGCACAACTTGCTTCAGAAGAAAACTAGCTATAGAGAAGTAACATTCCATACATGGGAAGACTGCTCCGTTTGGAAATACCGATTTATTCAGTGTTCGATATAGCTTCACAATTTCTTATATCCTTATTAGGGCATCGAGAATAAATATTACATGTTGATGGGCCTAAATCTATAATCTCTAAATAACATCAAGTCATAGAATCCAAATTTATGTAAATGATGTTATTAAAACACGATAGAAATCCCAAAGAACAGAGCCAGTGTTGGTTTCGCAGCAACTGGTGTCTCGATAAATAAAGGCTTGATTAGTTTACATAATACAACGGAAATGTGTTTGAAGTTAAAGTCATCACAAGCTGATGGTATCTAACACTGCAACACTTTTAAGCATTTGTGCCCAGGGATACGTGGTAGGCAGGCCATGTCTTGTTTGTTTGTAGATGCACCCGATATAGCTAAGTATTGCTTCATATGTATGTTGTGGCACCAAAGAAAACAAGACAAAAGATGTAATCTCAGTTTAGGTCACATGCCAAATACTTTGTTTAGATCAGTGGTTCTTAAACTTTTTGAGCCGCGCCCCCCTTTGAAAAATTTTACACACTTCGCGCCCCCCTCTTTTTGCTTTGAAAAAATGCTTTTGTGATGGACAAGTTGTTATATATTAAGATGGCGCTATAACTGAGTGTTGGTCTCATAGCGTCATTGCTCAGATTGTTTAGGCATAAAACGCTTCGGAGTACATCTTCGCCATTCACTGTCGTATGAATAAAGCCAAATAGTGGTTGGTCATCATACATTCTCGTTTTTCCGCTCAGTTTTCAATGCTTGGCAAAGTCAATCTAATTATTAAGTAAAACTAAACAAGCAATAAACCTATGCTTTAATATATTTTCTGCTTAAACGTTTACATAAGACACGTAAAATTTTAATCAATCGTTGTCGCTAAGGCGTTTGCGATTGCATTTTGTTCAGATCTCCATTGTTTACGTCAGCGTGGCGTGTTATTTAAGCCCTAAAAATCTTGATTTCGGTGTTTATCCTTCCTAAATCCGAAATTTCCCTCGACATATTCTTGAGCCGCAAAGACGATTATAATTACTTTTTCTGTTCTCGAATGGAACCATGACACCTCTGAGGAAAACGAGTTTATTATTAAAACGAGTTTTTATTATAATCATCAACGACGAGATGCTAACGATAGAATAAAAAAGTGAATCCGTAACTTAAAATTTCTTTATTGTAAAAGTGGCATAATAAAATACTAAAAATAAAACGGAAAACGCCATGAGTTTTGTTTTGGGGTGGACCGCGACAGATTAAAAACACTTTCTTGGACATTGAAAATCTCATAAATTCCTTGTGCGTGCGGCACACCAGTAGTTTTCTAAAACCACAGACTTGATATAAATTTTTCTCCGTGGGATCGCAGACTCTGGAATATCTGTAACTGTGATATATACCTTGAAATTAATCGAGTGGCGGCATTGCGATAGAGCGGAGTAAGAGTTGCAAGGACAGCTCATATTGGTGAAATTGGCAAGAATAAAAATCAAAACAAATAAAGCAACCATTTTAAATAAGTATATCAATCATGGATTGAATATTTTATTCAACAGAAAAACCATTACATATCCGTTGAAAAAGTCGGCTCTTTTAACGACTGGCGTAATCTCGAGGACTGACTCAAAAGCCGTACAGCGGGGGTTTCGTTTCGATGAATATGTATTTTTCATCTACTAATATATATACTTTACATGTATTTTAATTGTACTAAATTAAATATACTTTCTGGAATATTATACCAGATCTTTCTAATGACGACAACGAATTCGCATGAGAGCAATATATATATATAAAAACTAAATATAATCGGGCAGTTGATCACACTTTATTATGTCCGCGGATTGGCGTGGTATTTTAGATAGGTAATGAGTTTATTTTGTCGTAAGTCGCCGCAACCGCGAGTTACCTTGAACACAAATGACTCAAAATAGAGAGACATCTTGAATTATTGTAGTTATTACGAGACAGAAAAATTTATTATAACACGAAAAAGCCGGTATTTTTAACGAACGCGGAGACCGTTTCAGGAGCCGTTACATGTAAATTTCCGATTCCATCTTGTGACCTCTCGCGCCCCCCCTGAGAGCATCTCGCGCCCCCCTAGGGGGGCGCGCCCCCCAGTTTAAGAACCACTGGTTTAGATAGTTATATTGCAGAATATAGGACTAGGACAAAGAAACAAATTTTTATTAAAAATGACTAATAAATATTTCGCAAGACAAGTCAATTATTTCATAATATTTAAAAATGTGCCTGAAGTTGCAAACTCGATCATGGAATGTTTAATAACTTACATAAAAAGACGAAATTCTTCCCACAAAACGCCATGAACTTTAATGCAGTTATGTATAAAATATTCTATTGTATCGTGCTTCAGAGGAGAGAAGTATTTTAGATATTTTTTTTATCTCATACGGGCTATATAGCAGAATAAATTGAGGGAAGTTCAATTAACAAGCTATTGCTTAACATTTTCTAATAGCTTTATTTATGGTTCACAAATAATCGTAAAAAACGCATTGAGTGTTTCCCGCTGATCTCTATTACACTGAAATTTTACGTGTTCACGGGTGATGACGTTCTAAATCAAATACAGATTTGTACATTTCTGTCTGAAGTTAATGGGCCCGAGTACACTATTTTCATTACAATTGTTTCAACATTTATAATCATTGAATTTTGTAACACAGAAAGAGACTCCCGTTACAAAACATACTTGGCCGTGTACCCAGACCCTAATTGTGATTAGGGTTCATCGTGGAATAATCTAAGCTGAAAAGCTCACCAACTCACAGATCAATGGTTGGTTATGTCATTCACTTAAGCCAGGAGCGTGCAAAGTGCGGCCCGCAAGGGAAGATTGTGCCGCCCGCGGAGAAGTGCTCTAACTTTGAATGGCGTCCAGCCAACGAAATGGGTTTTTAATTCATTTTAATCTGTTTCCCTTTGCGTGGCAAAGCTTTTATGAGTCCAATTTATTATCTATGCATGTGGCGTTACAATCTCCTAACAGCGAAGCAAACAACGCGATTCAGAAAGCTGTCACTTGCTGTGCAGCATGCAATTTGAGAAAAGTGCGGAGCAGACGCTAATGAATTAGTAAGAACGGGCAATTGGAAAGAAGTTTTAAAATTTTTCATATTAGGAGATACAAAAGCTAAATAAGTTTTGGTTCCAACCTCTTAATTGATTTTGTCCAATCCAATCTAGAATAAGATTTGACAGTAAACTATTTAGAAATGAATCCCAGCGACTTTTACCGAAAACATCTCAACCAAGATAACTTTTCATATTTGAAAATGTCATGGTAATTTTCGACTCAACATATTGGGCTACAAATGGGCTATTTAAACCGCCTGAAAGACAAAGACTTGGAAATCGAATATCGAACTGCCAGCACTTACATTGAAGCAAATTTGGATAAAGGTAGTCGGGAAAATAATCCAGCAGTAAATTTCTCACTCAATTTGTTTAAATTTGAATAAAAGTTTTCAAACATTTTTGCGTTTCAACTCATTATTTCTGTACGGACCTCCAATAATGCCATAACATCAATAACAAAAAGACACTATTCTGTGTCTGCAACTAATAGAGAGCCTTTGTTAAATGAAGGTGCGACCCGCGGTTTTATCCAGTTATCAATATCTGGCCCGCCTACGAGAAAGGTTGCACACCCCTGAGTTAAGCGTTTCCCAGTCGATGCGCCGTAAAGTTTTGTTCTTGGCGAGCCGCGACACCGTTTAAAATCGTAGTACATCATTTCCTGCACTTCTACCAATTAAGTTAGGACCACTACAATACAATTTTGAACTCGCGCTTTCCGTTTCTTATTCAATATCGGTCAACTTATATACATAATAACTAAACTTATGTGAAACACTGATTTAGTTAGTCTACGCCGTCGACGTTTCTGTTTTAATTGCATTGTGTATTATATGCAGTACCACAAAGCGGCCGTGGATTGTGGAACAAGATAGTGCGAAACAACACACTGTTTTAATTAATATTGCATAAGATAGACTTTTTCACTTACTTCAAATGTCCGCCAGTTAACGACATCGTAGATAACGAGAGAGGCTTTTGAACTTGCTCGCTTGCTATGCGCTGCAAACGTTTTTCCTACGTCCCATTATTGTAATCCAAATATCGTGTATATTCAGTCTGACAAACGTCACGTACAGCGGAGGAGTGAACTATTCCTCTAGTTACAAATATCTAACTTACGTTACGCAGTTTACATTAACAAACTATGATAAGGAGCTTTTCTCATAGCTAGTGAAAGTGTTATCAATAATAAATTCCTGTTTTGGTTACTGGCTTCAGGCAAATTTTAACTACAATAATGTCGCTTAGTTCTGATAAATTTTGCATTCGTTGACAGTTTCAATAATAATGGTGATAATGACCGTAAATAATTATAATATGATAGTTCTAGCTAGCACATGCTTGATTGTATCGTCCTATCGGATCGTGAACTTGAATATGAAACTGTTAGGCTTAGAAATTTGTTATGCACGACAATACCATCGTTTAATTTAATACTTCTCTAACATTTTAAGCGCATACACTCAATGCGGCGGCCAGATATACTGTACCTGAAAGGAATTTACTGCGCGGTCCAAAACAAAACTTACACGATTTATGACGTCATAATATATATTGGCGTCTTATTCACGACTCTCTGACGGACTACAGTTTATTCTGCCGTTGCGATATTCTTATTAAAGTTATCGTGGACTGGTTTAGTCAAATCCATTTCATCAATCCGAACGTTTTTATGAAACTTACGTTGTCTAACAACTATACTTTAGTTAAAAAGAACTACAAAACATTGTGACAGCATTTTACTTACTAATAAGCCACTGGTGAAAGTATCATATGAGTCAACCAAACCAAGATAATTATCGAAACACCTTCTCATAACAAATAGCTTTACAAGTCTTGTGAATGATCTAACAAAAAGTGTTCAATCGGTACTAACAAGAAAACTATATCCTGAATCAGTATATCTAAGTTTGCTCGCATTTCGGTCACTGTTTGTGTAAATCGGCAGAATTTTTACCACTCTTCACCCTGCGAAAATCCCCCATGGTATGACACAGTATGCCGCTAAGTAGATAGAAAACCAAAGCGATGCTAACATTTTCCATACGAGGAAGATCACTTAGCTGGCACTTCGATAATTGCATTATTTTATCACAGCGAGTGCCTTAAGTGCTTTTGGCCAGAAAATTGAAACGTTTCAGCGCCAGATTTTCAAATGGTCGACGTTTAAGTGAAAGGATGGGGACGAGATAATGTAACTTTCTTGTAATGAAGTCTGTACGTTAATGTATACTCTACCAAGAAATGGCAAGGCTTCTGTGTTGGTGGTAAAGGGGGAATCTCTCGGAGATTGGTAGGATAAAGTCATTATCCACATACATAATTATGAAAACTTCCCATACTAAAAAATATCGGGTTATACATGCAGCGGTCACATCAATACTATTAGAAACGAAAACGATGGAATATTACCCATCAATCCAGATAAAATTTATCAAGGAAGATCTTGCCAAATCAAAACTCTATGCTGCGAATTATAAAATACTGATGGGGAGCTTCGCAAAGTAAATGCGGAATAATAGAATACCATATGGCAGTGATTCCCAATCGTCGTCGTTAAATCTCTCCCCTTGCCTACTTTGGAACTCTTATTTTCCCCACACTATGCTCAAAATTACTTTATTTACCCAATCCTCATTGGATTCGTAGCTAGCGTTATGCGCATGTTGCACTCTCGTTTTTGTACAGTTTAGGACAGGTAGGTTACTATGTGTTCACGAATAAGTATTGTAGTAATAAACTAAATAACATTAGTAATACTACAGCTGATATAAATACAAAATTCCTCCCAAGTTGGAAACATTTTTCCTGTGGGTAACGACTACCAGACTCCAGGTCTATATTTACGAAAGCCATATAGATGGTAAGTATGGTAACGAAACGCAAGTGCACGGCGAATTTTAAAGATAACAATTAAATCGAAAGAGTCATAACACCGGTTTATTAATCCAGGCGATTGATTAATTGCCGGTATACATTACCAAAGGATAATTTTTCAAAAGCGCTCAATTTATTTTTATCGGAAGTGAGATTAACTCTGGGAGTCGAGATGCTCATGAACCTGACAATACCTATTTCTGCGATGAATCGACTACTGTATTCTTTTCTTTAACTGAACTGAAACCGGAAGACTACATGTATAGTCGACTTGAAAATATGGTACATATATTTTGCTCTGTAAAAAATTGTACATTCCAGAGAAATCAACACAGTAGGGGTGTTTAGGACTAATCCACTAAGTTCGAAACAATAAAAATAAATATTGAATAATATTAAAACAGAATTTGTGCGCTACTATGACTAGTTATAGGTGCCACAATACATTTAGACTTCACAAATGACTACACTAATATTTTACAAACGAGTGAAAAAAAACGATGAAAAGACATTTGCAACAATGATACATGGCACATGGAGTGATGTACTGTACTTGTAGTGGATATAATGTGAAAGCAAAATAAGTTCACCAGCATTGGATAGTTCGCTAACAAGGAATAATAAACACATCTACCGATAATCGAGTACTATGAATGCCATTTTAATATGAATATTGATAATTCAATATTATGACCAAACCACCTGGTGCAAAGACTCAGAACACTCCTAGTTCTAAAGTGTGAACCTTCGTAAATGCAGAGAATCGGGCGCCCCAGAAGTATGTGTACCAATATGGAGGTAACTAATTTCGTTCGTGTCTTTTACATCAAGTTATGTAAAGGGACTGAAACCTATAGGCAGGGGATGTTCACTTGGCTAACATAGAAAGTCCCCGAACTCGTAATAGAACTAAAATAAGAAAAAACCGAAATAAAATTATTGCCTAACCCTGACCCGGCACACACACTACGGAAGTACCGAGATAGTATGCACACAATAGGCAACGATTAGGTCACGTAAATCCAAATTGAGAATTAGACTACATACATCCTAATCCGAGGTGCAAAAATTGGAAACAGTGGTATTGCTGACGTCGCCATTCGTGATGACTTTAGATGAGTTTGGTTGGTCGAAGAACAACAATGCACCTCGTAGAAAAGCTAGGGTATATAAACGACTTGAAGATAGAGCTACAGCTTTCTTGGTCTTCGAAATAACGTCACCTGCAACAAAAACACAAATATCTTCCTTAACTACGCTGAATAAAGCAGGAAGATATGCCAGTAATTACGATCAATATTGTAAACCTGGAAGAAAGCGGTACCAGTCGATACCCTTGCCGTTATCCATCGAAACCCGTTACACAGAGAGACATGGAAAACTCGATGATATTTGTTTGTTTCGTTAGATTACTAAACTTGAGGGATTCGGGCTTGCCTGTACGTTGGTGATGTTTATCATGAAATCCGTTCATTTACTTAATCGTTTTATATTCGAACAAACGATGACAAAATAGGAACATTGAAACGTGAAAATCAAGTAACGATTAGACTTAGGTGCGGTAATGAAAAGTTCTATACCGGTAATGTTTTCATTTTAGATTGGGAACTTGTTTTAGGCCAACGGTTCACAAAATGTGCAACGAGTTGTCAAATGTGCGCCGAAAAATAACAGAATTGTGTTAAACATAACTGAAATATGATTGAATATTTTATTCATTATGAATGTTTTATTGTTTCTTACTTAAAATGATGTGTGTGTGAACTAATAAATCCATTTTACCATTCTATATCGTTTACTTTCTGTTGCAGAGTGTTCGCCTGTATTGTTACGTAACAATAGATATAGACACTATACTTGCTGTAATTTCGTGAGCTGTAGTTTATTTATCTGCTGAATCGAGTTTAGCGAACACAACTGATTTTTTTTAGTCATTCAAAGGAAAATCAGACAGAAATGAGGAAAAAGAATTTACCTTTTGCTTTTATTCCGTAGACCTACATGTTTACAAACTTTAAAAGACATAAATGATACATTAACGATCACAAAATTAGAGTTTTCTTTGGAAGCAGCATTTTTTTTCGTGTAAGTGCACCATGAGTTTTTTCCCTTATACTTTGGCGCCGCATAAACAAAAACCGCTGTTTTAGGCATTATTATACGAAAAATTCAAATATCGAAAAAGGTCATATAGAGCAGGGCTACTCAACTATTTTTACCGAAGGTCCGCATACAAAACTTCAAAAATATATGGGTCCGGTCTTTCCAGAATTTATATTTCGGCATCCTTAAACACGCACTTCCTCGACCGACTAATGATTATTACATGATCAAGGTTGGTTGTTATGCCGTTATAGTTCTTTTCGTATATATTTAAATCTATAAAAGTGATTTTATAAATGGTAACTTCAAAAGTGGGGTTAATTAATGGTCCAAAATAAAGAATTAGGCGCGGTCCGAATCGAATACCCGAAAGGTCCATTCGGACCGCGGTCCGCCAGTTGAGTAGCCCTGATATAGAGAATGCCCAGGGACATTAGCCAAAATCTGAGTTAAATCAAGAACAAACACAGCAAGAGAGGTGTGTAAATGGACGAAACTGGAAATATATAAAATCGATTCATTTATTACTATTTTCAATCCGTATACAGTCATGAAACTGAAAATATATAAAATTAGATATATTTATTTTGATTTTTAATCTGTATACAGTTGACTTAGATAAATAATCAGAATGCAAAATGAACAAATTCCTGGGATTATAATCATGACATGACTCGGAAGCAGACAACGATCACCCAAAAGATAACCTTTTGACATGACCGCGCATCATCTTATAAACCAAATATTGCGGACCAAATATGAAGAACGTTTTATGGAATATACATCACCATGTTAAACACGGCCTTAAAGTTATAGAGGTAAACATTGCTTTAATAAATTAAATAAAAAAATCTGTGTTGATCATGATTTTGTGGGCTCATTTAGTCCACCGTCTCCATTTGCCTTGGAGTTATAACAGAAACATATTGAAATTCGAAATGCAACAATGAGTGCCATAACGTGCGTCAAAATACCCAACAGTTTGTATAAGACTTTCCACCTGCAATAAAGTCAATTTTGTTGAAAAATCAATTTGAATTAGTTGAATACAAAAGAATCATTATTATTAACAAGAGAGCGATGCGCATATACATGGGCACGAAGGTCACGTATCGTAGCAGTAGGTAAAGACTTGCTGAAAAAATCCACGGATAAGCGTGACAGAATAAAGTGTTTCGATATTTAATAAAAAGTTTTAGTCAACATAAATCAGCAAAATTTCTGGCAAGTATGTGAACCAAGATGGCGGACACCGGAACGTAGTATATGTACCAGGTTAGGGTTAGGCCATAATTTCAGGCACGAATACTACGAGAGTCACTTGGTTAGTCCCCGAACTCGTAATAGAACTAAAATAAGGAAAATTGGAATAATATTATGGCCTAACCCCAACCTGGTACACATAATACGTTCCGGTGTCCGGCATCTTGGTTCACATACCTCGGGCGTACCGAATTTCGGGTCATACAGAAGAAATAAAGTGAAAGCAAATTGAATTTTTTTTAAATATCTTTCTATAGCGCCTTCGACCATCTTTATGTACTAAAATTTGAAATAGATTGATCCATCAGTTGCGAATAAAAGCTATTCTTCACATCAACAGCAAGAAAATACATGACAACAACAACAATTTAGAAAAACGATTCATGGTTTCACTTTTTGTTCAATAATCCACGGTGAAAATGGGAAATTGAAGAAACATGAAAAAACAATAATTTCAATCATCGGAGTTCAAAAGTTTAAACACATCTGTAATGTCACCGACAAAGAACAGCGAATCGCAACCATATGTTTTTGTGGGAAGAATATACAAAACAGCTAAATTACACGATAGATTTCAATCGTAGATTTAGACCGCTGCCGCAAAAAGATCTGGCAAACAATGGCTCCCGCTTGTGTTTATTTAAGATAATTTAAAACATCGTTTGGTTTAACGAGTTTCGAGATTCATTTATGCCAGATGAACTTATAATCAAAACAATAATTTTCGAATTGTCATGATTATTAAACAGCAAAAAACTGTGGAATAGATATTTGTAAAACAAACTGGCGAGATCGGAAAACTTTTGTGAACTCGCTGAAGGCAAACTTAATAATAGAGCAGTTGGCGGATTTTTGCCTTCAAATGTTAATCGAAAACACGCAACCAAAATTTAAAATTATCAGTTTTCACTCCGAACGTAATGAGCCTAATATCGTTCAATGAAGACAGTATGCATATTCATAGGAGATTTTGCTATGCAAATTGCTGTCGGATAATAATTTACATCACCACCACACACCTCTTGAGTGAGTGAAAGTGCGGCACCGGAAATATCAGGATCTTTCCACAATAAAATAATAGTAGCTCATCCCGACTTTTCAGTGTGTTTCAGGCCTTGTTTAGAGAAAACGCTCATTGTGTATTCCATGTAAATGTCTGACGAATTTAAATGGATTTCTCGAAAATGTCGTGTACCACACTTATACCAATCTTACGTTATTAGAATACCTCATAAACTACTGACAAAAGATAATACCTATCCATCTTAACCCACTTGGATGGATACCACTTCCTAATACTTTGACAGTTTGTCCCAAATGTACGCGAAGTGGAACAAGTGTGACATAGCATTTTTGAGATATCGAATTTTAAGTTAGCTGGGGATTTGATGAAAATTAAAAATGCATTTTTCAGTACTTGTTAAAACGGATACGAAAATAGCAAAATCGAAAGTTGAGTTTGACTTTCATTTCTCTGTGATTTTCAAAGACTTGCAGTTGAAGAGTCGCAATACTGTGGTAGCGAGTCTAGCGACAGTACAGAACACATAGTTTATTGCTAATACATGATGTGCAAGTATATTACCGAATGGAACAAGGAGATATCAGTAGGTAGATCACATTGGTTTGGAAAGTGAAAAATCTATTATCTTTGTAAATACGTACGTGCCACAGCAAGCATAACAATCTTATCTGGTTTTGGAATTGGAAATTAGCGTAAACTCAAAACAAGAGGTTTTGCAATATCCTCCAATAAACACGTATACGTGGAGTCATCGGCCATTCTGGTCTCGACATTAATCAAATCGTTGTGTAAGCCAATTATTGAATAAATAAATATGAGCATAAAATGCATTTTTATATTTTCGTTGTTTAGATTAGGAATTTATTTTTTATTTATCTACTCAATTGATAGGATGTGGCGAGTGCTATTTAGCCGAACATACTACAAATAATCTCCGACAATAAGTTCCATACCATCACCTGAATATGTTCTATTTATGATGAATGATATAGCGATAGAATTTATAGGTTTTGTTTAATATAGTTCCACAGCTTCACATAATTAGATTCTGGTCAATTGGATGAACCTTACCACAGACAGACAGATGGAATCGGCATAATTGTTACACGCTTGTTAGGTGGGAATTACTCTGCCCATCCAATGCAGATGCTTATGTAACTGGACTGGGTACTCAAAGTTACCAAATGTTGGAAAGGTTAAGGAATGGCCTAACCCAATAGGCATTGAAATACAGATACCAAAACAGAACAGCCGACACACGTGTGGCTTTCATTCTAACGTTGAAGAGAAGTGCATTTCCACATGGACGAAGAATTGAATAAGGTCTGGAGTCGGAGACTAGAAACTGCTAATTTGCAGAACGACACGTTCCGTATCAAAACACAACAGACGGTGTTAGGGAAGACTTCAAAGGAAGATTTATGACAAACCATAAACAACTTTTATTACAAAATTACAAAATAAATGACTTAAATAACTCAAATTCAAAACATTTCATTGTTTATGAAAACTTATATTGGTTTTTATACGCATATTACCAAAAAATATATTACTCTGGACTTGAAACAAATAACAAATTCCCACAAAATCATTAACCGTGTTTTGTTATGGTACAATTCGTGCAATGGGTGAGCATTATCTGGCATCCTGTCATGCTTTTTTCAATTCGCTCAATGATGGCTGTATTGGAAATCGGTTGAGTATGACCCAATGAAGATTGAAAAAGCTTTGAAATGATAAGGTTTTTGTAATCAAAGTTTTTTCGGGAATCGGAGTTTAAATTTCTATAACCCGAGTCGGTTATTCGAATGCCTCGTAATTAACACTGATGATTCGACTTCGCGGCTCTGGCTGCAGCGCACTCAATCGTATCAAGTACGTCATATATAACTGAAGATTTTACGTAAAAGCATTAAGTAGTCCTTACAAAAAATTCAACATTGTGAAAATAATAAAGGACCTTCCTCCATTCCAACTTTCTATCAAATTGTGTTTTATACCAAATTTAGTTTAACGTATCTTGAATGAGGTAATATTTTTGAAATTATCCGTGAATCAAAATTCAACATTATTGATATATTCGAATGCAGGTGTTTCATTGCTATGTCATCATAACGTAAAATAAACGCTACTTTACCTCCGTATTTTATTTTTTCCAAGGAATCCAAGTTCTCGTGATCTTCCAGAAGACCCTGAAATTGAATTCAACATTATTACTTACTACCATGGATGTCAAAAACGAATCGAATACTCGAAATTCATTATATTTGTTATAGTAAATAAAGAACATTCTTAAGAAATTAGGGGTTTCGAGCCATCAGACAAGCGGATCTAAACGTACAATATCTCAAACTTGTAACAATCAACACAGGGAAAACAATGATTTTTATATTAATGTCGTTTCAAATTTCATTGTTTCGTTTCAATTTTCATTTCATTGTAATTTTCCACGTGAACCTGTCCCCAAGTTAGAATGAATTCAATAATACATTTTCGAATTTTTTTCTCAGAATGTATTCGGAATAGTGAAATATCCGGTTTTGTCAATATCAAAATGAAAATGAAGGATATGTGCATTTTATCACGCACACAATTCTGCACGTTTGTTGCAAGGAGAAAAGCCTACGGGTATCAAAAATATATCTTCGTATGGGATTATTTTTAGCAAATGTTTATTTATTTTGGCATGCACGAACCAGATAGTTGAATCTTACTTTCAATCCTTAGAATGTCGCAATTTCAATAAAAAATCATCTACAATCGTGATTGATCTAGTTCAGCGTTTCTATATTTTAGACCAGGTCCAGGTAAAATAAACCTGTTTCTCGTTCACTATATTTAACGTTGAACTCTCACGTTACCAGATAGAAATTATTCTCTCTTCCGAGCCTCAAGTTTAACAACGGCCACGCTCGACCATGGGAACATGAAAGTTCTCCATATTTTCAAATGTCATGTGACAGGGTTTAGGGATGGGCTTTACCGTTGTACAACAATACTGATCTAACACGAAAACAAGAGAATTAATACTGCATATAAATAAACAAGCATTCGAACGTGGCTTTATCAAGATATTTATGCCACACCTGCCCGAATATATGACCATATTTGGTAGCTATGGGAAAATGACAAAGATCAAAGTTCATAAACAATATAAACTGTTGTTTCAAAAATAATTTCAATTTGGAATTCGGGGAAATGTTTTGAAGGCATGCAAATTTTCTACACAAATAAGGAAATATTAACTATATATGTAGCCAAAGCTTGGCAGAAGTAAAGACAATAGCTTGGTCGCTGTTCGGGTCCCGAAGGCAGATTCTTGACATCAAATTTAGCTAAACTTGCCTCGTGTATTGAATGATATAAGCAACGAAAAATGGAATGACTACTAGCGCTTTAACGACTAACATGTTGTCAAATACAGAAAATGGTGCTTAACTATGTTAAACAGGTAATAAAGAACACGCTGTGCTAGTCGGGGATTTGGAAATAAAGAAAGGTTGCGACACATTTCGACTCATACGAAAGACACAGTTAGGCTTAAATATTGAAACGGGTGGAAATACTATTGCGCTAAATCGAAGATAACCTTGTTGAAACGTGCCACATCAGGTGATATCCCTAAAGATAAAGATCTGGGTTTCCAGTTTCAAAGGGTTGCCTTCCCGCTCTATGTATGACAATTTAGGGCCGATTATTGCATCATTAGCGGCGTAAGTCTACGATCGGTGTCAGAAGGTCGATACCTGAAAAGTTAACCGCATGGTCAACAATAAAACGATTCAATTTCGATCATGCATCCACGTATTGCATTTGATCTCACTTAATCCGTTAATAAAAATCAAGCCCGACCATATATGTTATATCAGATATTTTATACATCAAATTAATCTCCCTCATTTTGGGCTTTGTATATCCGGACAATTCATCGGATACCCATATCCGGTTTCATAAGTGACCCGCATCGACGAGGTTCAAAGCCAGTGTCATCAAAATTCGTTGTATCCAGTAGCCAAAAAAGAATGACCAATAAAAGATTGTTTACGTGAATTTGACCTTCATAGGATCGGGTTGAATATAAAAGAAATGATAACATCTAATAAGAAGGCCGGGTTAACCTAGGTCAGGGGTGTGCAACCTTTAATACAGGAGGGCCAGATAGAAATAACTGGGTGAAACCGCGGGCCGCACCTTCATTTACCATAAGCTATATCAGGGGTGGGCAACCTTTTCCGGCTCGCGTGCCCAAATCGGCTAAATTTAACGACAAAATTCTTCCGCGTGCCGACCAAAATTAAAAACAATGCTTTGTTACTTTTAAAGCAAAAATACACAATAATAAACCTTCTAAACATGTAAGCTACAGACAGATTCACTATTCGGGAAAATATCAGTACTACAAATAGATTCGATTACTTTTCTCATTCTATATAATAGAGACTTCTTCTACTGCATTGCCGTTGATAGAGATTTACATTGAAAAAAAGTTACGGACTACTGGTTTAATCTTTCAGGCTACTCCTGTTAGGAGACTTAATAAAGTTCATAACTGAGAACAGAAAATCACAAGCATATGTAGATAAAAACATGCATTTGCGAAGTTTTTGAGACACGAAAAATTCTCGGGAATGGCTTCCCAATCACGCGATAGTTCGTTACTGCTCTTCTCTCATGTATTCCCTTCTATAATTGCTTATATTTCTTTCGAAATCAATTTATTTCAGTAAGTGAGCAAGTAACTCTAACCAACATGAGCTGTACAACTTCATAAATAAATCAGAAATGAAGAAAAATGGTGACACAGACTATATATTACGTAACAATGAACCCCCCAATGAATGCTGCTATGTCTCGTCACAATTCATAAAGAGCTAACTCAGTTGTTACGTCATAATACATTTCTTTGTAGCCATATGTCATGAAAAGACAAAAAGAGTTCAAATAACAGATTGTTAACAAACGATAATGAATAAACAAACACCGAGCTTCATCAGATAAATCAGTGCCTCGAAACTTTTTATCTGAAAGAGAATGATCTCGTTTCTGATGCCTCACTCGCGTGCCGAATAAATGGGTTCTCGTGCCAAGTTCGCGTGCCAGGGGTTGCCCACCCCTGAGCTATGCCTATATAGTAGCAGGCACAAAAACTTTGGTTATTGATCTTGTGACATGCGTTGTCTGCACAAGCCAGCTGTATCGGCATTGTGAAGTCATACTCATGGGCATATATAATAAATTGGACTCGCAAAGAGATTAGAATTACTTGCATGTACCAAATTAAATTAAAAACTTGTTTCGCTGGCAGAACCTCATTCAAAATTGGCACTTCTGCGCGGGCCGCACAATTTTAACCTGAGAGCCGCATTTGGCCCGCGGGCCGCAGGTTGCACACCCCCGACCTAGGTGAATACGATTCCCACAGTTGTGAGAAGGTTATAAATAACACCAACCGCAACTTGAAGATTGTTCATTTGAAGATGAGGATTTTAAGTAACTTACTCCAATCAAAAAAAAACGTATAAAATTTCGGGCAATGTGGATCTGTTGTTATTCAAAATCGATGTGTAAGTTGTAAATCATGTTTACAATTAGTGTTTGTGGCTGTGTTTCAAATTAAAACCCGAAAGCAAGCTGTAAAATTTTTTTTTTTTCAAATGTTCGACTGGTTATGGGAAGATATATGACGTATTTCCTTCAAATAAGAATGTTGATTAACACACAATGCTCTGAATGCAACGCAATGCACTGAATGCCAGAAACATGATGGAATTTGTAGAGCAAACCATGTATTGTTCAGCTGATCATTATTATTCATACAGCATTATCCATCCATAAAAAGTATAAAAACGATCAACTTCTTTCTTCGACTTAGGGAACGGTGATAAACTTTGGGCGCTCCAGAAGTGCAATGGAGGTCACTAATTTTGTTCGCCTCCTTCACATCAAGTTGCGTAAAGGGACTGAAACCGATGGGCAGGGGGGATATTCAATGGGATAACACGGACAAACCCCGAACTCGTAATAGAATTTAAATAAGGAAAATAGGAATAGAATTATGGCCCAACCCTAACCTGGTACACACACTACGGGAGTACCAAACTTTGTTCTATACCGGGCCATAGGTAAAACCCAACTATGAAGCAAGAGTCAGTGAGACATCATAAGACCACTGCAAAATACACCCACGATCAAAGTTAGTTGCACAAAAAAAAAATAGATAAATAGTTACGAATTCTGATTAATCAGTCACGCAATCGAAAGTTTGCATGCAAACAACAATATGCATTTTCATTGGCGTCATAGGCCGACTGAAAAAATGAGGCTTTCGGAATGCATGTTCACCCTATCCGAAAAAATCATCATCAAACACATATCTCTGTATAGAATATTAATATTTGTATGAAAACAACAAAGAAAATGCGCAAAAAATGGCATCAAAAACGCGCGTCAGAAGAATGATTTCATAAGCGTATACAAATGCTTGATCGCGACCCTGGAAATGGAACAAACGCGGTAACTGTGGGTGGATAGATAGAACCCAAAAATGGGTCTGAAAATAGAGATCGTGTTTCGCCAACAAAAATCATTAGTGCTTTGCAGACAAATTGTCGCTTCTGACAAAACCAAAAATATTTTACATACTAATATACGCAAATTACATATTATTAATGTAACGATACTCTTACCATGATGCGTACGTATATCGAGAAATCGCGCGTTTTCCAGTCAACCGAAAGGTCAGTATAGAAAGTAAAAATTGCAGGAGTGACGAATTAGAAAAGATAGGTATAAACAACATTACCGACTATACTCATTTAACATTAGATTTTCCACGACATTTGTTTGAACTCTATTGAAGTAATCTTTGAGAGCCGAGGGGTACACGGAGTATATAAATTTTCAGTGTATATTTCGACAAGCTCGTCGGTGTGAGGGGAAAAATTCTATTTTTTATACGACGTCATTCACGCCGTTCGCTCTGAACAAGGCCCTGTATACAAGCAGCCACTATTATCTAACGATTATCTAGTTCTAAAATTATTCATTATTTGCTTGTACTCTTTTACACTTTAGAGTTAGTTTCGAATCCAACTACCAACTCAATGAAATCTAAAAATTTTAACCGGACCGGATCTATAATTTAAAAGTGCGAGTCCTCTGTCACGGCAAAGAATTACCCCACGATAAGGGT